GCATTTTCTTTACCTTCCTCACCAATGTTTAGCTGACTGACGTTGAGCAAAACATAAATACTTGTTAATATAGACATCGATTTTATAGCTATGTACACCAGGTGAACCCGAATTCGTAGAACACTTGGATTATAAATTGCACAAACACCCTGCAAAAAATGGCATTATTTCTTTCACTTAAATTCTCTCATCATCAGTCAACAAAAAGGAACAAAAAAGACAGCACTGCTGCAATCGCCAAAAAAAAAAGTATGGAATTAATGGCACACTTATTAGACCTCTTCTTTGCATTGTAATTTATGCAGATTTTACCGGTAATTATAATATAACTCATTGTTTGATTATATTACAATTCTCTTAAGCTGAAGACTACCGTTAATTTGACTCACTTACTTTTTTTCTTTTAAAACCTTATTTTTTTCAAACGTCTGACGTAAAATTTTTTCACTTACATTTAAATGAAATTGTTTTTTTTGATAGAGTAATAACATTGAGAGAAAAAAGATTAGCTTTATCTATAAGGTTATCAGTAACAGTGTTACACATTTAGGTACTTATAATGTAGAGTTTTTTTAGCAGTTTTTCTCAAGCTTAGACAAAAAAAAAACAAAATTGTTGCATTAAGTTTCTTTTTAACCACTTCTAATTTTATAATACACATTTATAATAAATAAAAAAAACAAATATGTGCAGTTTTTCGAGCATTTTTGAGACGACATTAAGCATCAACGTCAAACTGCCAGTAAATATTTCAGAGAGTCAACTGATAAATATAACATTAAAGAAAAGCATAATAATACTGTTTATTTTTTGTTTTTTATCTTTTTTGACTGTATTTTAACTGTCTTTACTTACCTCTTATTGTTTTTTTTCTACTGCTTACAGGTTCTCTGTGGCTAATACAGGCATTTTTACAAACTAGCAATTATTAAAATTATGCTAGCAGTTTTTTAATCGTTATAAATTTTTGATCAATCTTGCTAGCACTAATTTAGTATGCTGTCATTAGAAACTTTTTACAAGCAGAAACAGAAGCATTTACCAGGCTATCTGCACAGGTACGTTTCCAAACAAGGCAGGCGCTATCATAAATTACTCCCCAGAGAAATGGTGATGGAAAGTTGGCCAACAGACTGGTCAAAAAACATTCCAATCCCAAAGCAATACTTCGATAAAACGAATCAACAGACCTAAACTACAGCTATATTACTCACCAACCTTTCTTTATTTAAATATATATATATATTTGCATTTTTTTGTTTTCGGTTTTTCAAAAACGTTATTTGTATCCTCAATCTTTTTGTCAGCATTTCCTTTTCTGATTTTACTTTTTTGCACTTTTTGCTCTTCACATATTAGTGCTTACTAAGTTTCTTAATGTATTTTTTATGACTCGTTACTGATTTGTTTGTCATATGAAAGAACTTGTTTAGCACCTTGTCTTTAACCCCTTAATGCAAACATTTTTTGAAAAACTTTGGAGCAAATCATTTCAACAAATCGTCTTTCCTAAATGTTTGAGGTAAAACAAATAAAAAACAGAGACAAAATCGAAGCAGAATTTGTTTGTATAATAACAAAAGTTGACATAAAAATTGTTTCCAAATTTAAACGCTTAGCATTATCTGAAAAAAGATAACTGATTTTGTTAGTCAATTTCCAAAAATTTTTGGTAGAAACAGCCAAACCATTATCGCATCTAATAATTTAATAACGAAACGTAGAAGAGATTGTTTTTGTTTCTCTTTTAGGCTACATCAATCAAAAAGCAACAATTTATTTAAACTTTTTTTACACTAGAACGACAATACATTACCTTAGCAAGAGTAACATTCCTGGCACTAGACTTCCACCTGCCGCGAATGAGTCAAGTAGAACAGTTGCAAAAAACATGGCAGCCATTTTCTGACAATTGTTCTGGCAGTAATCCTTTTTTAATGTATCACCAAAACTGCAGTCACAAGATGAAAATTCGAGTTCATTCATATTTTGTTCACTAAGACTAACCTAAAAATAATTTTTGTTAATTGGTCAATATCATCAAGGTTTGACAGCCAGACTAAAGAACAGCAGTAGTATGATATTAAAGCCCACTCTTGAGGACACCTTTATAACTTTGTTGTTTTATATGCTATTTGAACCAACAGTTAGCAGAAATTAGATTATAAACTTACTACTCGACATCCGGCATGACATGGTGACATGAAAACTGTCCCACGTTGGTTACATATTGGGTACAATCGTACCTCATCACAACCACATTCACCATTGCACAGATAAGTGTAGTTGTAATTTGTTTCCCTACAAAACAAAAAAAGAAAAACTTCTTTCTTTCAAAATTATTTTTTATTTAATACAGAATGCTGTTTATTCTGTTATCATAGAAATAACAGGTTCTAATGGTAAGGTAAAATAGCAAAGGTAGTATAGAAAAAAGAAAAGAAGAAAGGAAAAAAACGACAGCTTTTTACTTACCGACCAGATTCTGCAATGTCATTGACGACTGAATCACAACTGAGAAAACATTTAAGAACGAACAGCAACACATTAAAAATTTCAAAAGTCAAAAGAATAACTGTATGTGCTCTTCCTTTTAGTTTGTAATGCTTAATAATCAATCCACCAAAAACTGTTCCCACCGCGAAACCCAGTACTCCAAAAACTGCTGCAATACTGTTTGTCATAATGTAATTTCAAATAATTAAGAACATTTGGAAGATTACATAATTTTTATATATTTTCCAAAACGTACATAAATTTTATTTTAATTAATTTCATAGAGAACTTTTGACTGCGATGTGCTGTAAAGGTATTAATCTTTTAAGCCAGTTTTCAGAATCTGTAAGTTAACCATTTGAAAACTACAAAAAACTATAGAGTTTCTTACCAACATACTGATTGGCCTTATATAGCGGTATGCCGTAATAGTTTTCAAGGTATTTTGGTTGGTACGTCAAATATCCTTTATACGATAAGGAGTCAAAGATGCGACCAGCAACAACAGCAACAAATATCTTAGATTTAAACACCTTCGCATAAGAGCATAAAAAGTCTGCAAGTACTAACTTAAATTGTTTAGAAATCGTAAAATACTGTGGAATATGGTAGACTAATGCAACAATTTTACCCACATTTAAGCTTTTGCTTAATAGTCGGTGGGTGTTTTTGTTGGAAAAGATAAGGCAGTTGGCTTTGTACAGGACAGTCAATTTTGTTATAGGTCGTCTTTATCGT